ACACACACACACACACACACACACACACACACACACACAGCATGAGGTTTAAGCCACCGGGTCTGGGATTCAAATTGCGGTCGACTACGCGGGAGTCCAGTGACATAACCATTACACCATCTGCTGGTCTCTAAATCACATAATTTTGAGAAACCATAGAAATGGAAAAATCATCTACTTGATGTGTACTTTAAGCTTAGTAAACTAGTTCCCAACATAGACTCTCCTCCATCGTCTCTGATAGCACAGAGACATCTACAAGCCCTCGATCAAGGTGTATTTTTTGTTTTGTTTTCTCCAATTTTTTTTTAATTGAGAAGCTGATGTATGACATACAATTTTAATTTCTCTTGCCTTCCCTAAAATTAGGGAAGTATGACCTATGATAACCTGATTTTCAGGTTACTTTTAGATGAATATGTTGCTGTACACTTTCTTTAAGATAGCTTAAAGAAATATTTTTACTCCCTTGCCTAAAAAAGGATATTTGTTGACTTGCAAATTATACTTTGTAAAAATGGAGTTTTGGGGCCAGTTGGTGGCATGGTGGTTGAGGGTGCTGGCCAACCACAGTAGGAGTCCTGGACCTAGCAGCTCGCTTTCTCACTTTCCTTCTCTCTCTCTCTCTCACATACACTCTGCCCCTCACTTACTCTCTCTCTCTCTCTCTTACTCTGTCCATCTCTGGTCAAATTTAAATAAATAAATAAGTATATAAATAAATAGAGGTAAATAAAATAAGACTGGAGAACATAAAAGTATTAAAAATTGTAATGGACACTAGAGACAAAAGTGGAAGAGGGGGGGGAGGGAAAGCATAGGAAAGGAAATTTAGGGGGGAGGGGAATGGAGAGGTAAGACTTATGGGACACAGATAAGGTTTATTATCTGTTGACGAGGATTATATAATAGTCTCAACTGGACTAGGCTGAGGTGTAAATCATGCTGGATAAAGTCTCTTCACAATCTAAATGATGTATAGCAATTTAATGTACAAATTTAAAAAATTAAAATTTTTAAAAATGGAGTTTCTAAGATTGGTCTTTCATTCATTACACAGTATTTACTGAGTAATTAGATCGTGCTGCGTTATATGGAATAATACAATCAATAAGGCCCAGCCCTGTCTTCAGGGAACTTAAGTAGGGTGTAACTGGCAGAGCAAAATGTGCATATCCCAAACCTCTAAATCATGATCTAGAGTAATATATAAAAAAATACTCAAAAAGGGAATTTATACCTAGCAGACTCTATGAATCACAGAAATCTGGGGAAAAAATGGACCGTCTCTTTTAGGAACACCACTGGAATGATTCGCTTCACTGTTTTCCTTTTTTAATTCACTTAAAATTTAGTTACCTAGAAGAGTGTAATGGATACAACTTGGGTCATGAATTTATCTCTTGACATCTCTTCTATTCACCAGAATGGGAGATAATTCCTCGAAGAAAAATCAAGACATTGTTATTCAAAGAAAGGGAAAGGAATGCTGTCTGGTCACAAACAGCACATCCTGTTAGTGGTGGTAGCAGTAGTAGTGGTAGTTCCAAAATGAGAGATCAGCTGTGAAAAAGAATAGGGAAGCATCTGGCTCCTGGAGGAGGCAGGTGTCAGGCTAGTCCTTGAATGTACATTGTCTAGAATGGAGAGAAGACAAGTCTGTTGGTGGAGGACATTCATGATGAGGAGTAGCAGAGAGAAGATGAGGAGGGGTCAGCTGGTAGACAGCCTAGAAGAGTGGTGTGCTGAGTACTAATTTGTGGTCTGGAACCATCTGAGGGTGCCTGCTTGGTTTCTGTTTCCTCCTAAGCAGGGCGTGTTATAGTGTACTTAGAGAAACTGACTGAGGAGTTGGCTGTAGAGTGGAGAGGAGTAAGGCCCGAGATCAGCGGAAAAGACCACATAAAGGTTTTTGCACAAACCTGCCTCGGTGACACTTCCTCCGAAGTTCAGTCACTGGGTTTCTGTTTAAACACACGTATGTCAGTAATTGTAAAAGTTAAAATTTGCCTGAGACTCTTAATTCAGTTGTATTTCATAATTACAGTGTACATGTAAAAGCCAAGCTAGTAATGAAAGTATTACATACAACAAGGGCGGTTTAGATAAGTTAATGTTGCCATGGGAACCCCAGCAGAGCTTCTCGAGTCTCAATTTAAAAATCATGGCCCAAGGTGGTTTTAAAAAAACAACAGAAGGTAAAATTATTCTCACACTCTCACACATGTAAATCGTACTGTCTCTCTCCGTTGTAAATAGCAGATTCAAGCCAGCCTCTTGACTGGCGCAGTACAGCTCGGCTTCTTGTCTTTCTGTAATGGATTACAGCATGTGAGTTAACCTTTAGAAGCTTCAGAAATACATCAACCAAATTTGGACTGTGAGACACACACTGAGTTCTCTTGGGCTGTGTCCAGCGTAGACCTCCTATTCCACGTGTCTACACAGCAGGGCCATTTCCACCAGTGTCTTCTACTTGTCTGGTCAGTCTTTCTCTTAGCCAACCTGAATCAGCTTCCTCCTTAGGGTTTGCTGCTAGACAAAAAAATGTAGATCTTGGCAGAGAAAGAAAGAGAAAAAGACCTATTGGCATTTTGCCTATAGATATGAAGAAATTATGGGCCCAGTGACACAGTGCTCTACAGTGGCTGGAGCCCATGTGGAAGACAGGGGGCCTGGTTCCCTGGTTGACCTGTATCCAGGGTGGACATGTGCATACGTGCCTATAATCCTGGCTGGCTGGACAAGGCTGGAGGGACAATTGCCATATGAGACCCTGTTAAGGGTGCTTTTCTCTATCTCTCATGAAATAAAGAAAATAAGTAATTAAGAAGTATTGAAATGTTTCTGCGTGGGTGCTCATTTAATATATTTGATAGGGGCCAGACAGTGCAGTGCTAAAACATGATGCAGGTCCATATTGGGAAGTTGCCTGTTTGCTGCCAGAGACCTCCTCGAGTGTCATGGGCTTGTGTACCCATGATCTGTGTTGGCTGAGGCTAGGGAGCGCATCGAGGTAGTGTGATCTTACAGGGGTACTGTATGTCTGTCTCTGCCTTTGTCTCTGTGTCTCTCACTCATGGAATAAATAAATAAGCTTAAGTAAAATATATGATTACTGCATGATATTCTAATTTCTCCCTCATATCCATAAAGCTAGGACCAGTTGTTTATAGTTTATACCCAATTTGATATTTAACATTCATCTGCGGAGAGAGCCGAATTTTGAAAGGGCCATTTTCTAACAGAAAAAAGGTATACACTTCATCTTCTTACAATACAGAAACAATGAAATTATGTGATATTAAAATATACCCTCCATTTTTCTCCATTTCTGCAATTTCACTTTTGAGGATTGTCCAAATGAAAACACACAAAAAAAACTGTTCCAGAAAGTTGTGAGAAAATCAAGATAAGAGTTTCTGTTATTAAGGTTTTGCATTCAGTATGACACACTTGTCTGCATAAAAAACACCCAGTTAACATTGACTTCTGAGAACCTACCGGCTTGGCTTATCTCAGTTCCATGTACTTTTTTTTTTTTGGAGAAATTTTTGCTATAGGGTGCGTGCACTCGCCACACAGACAGAACAGACATTGTGAGACAAAGAGAAAGTGAGAAATCACCCCCCCGGGGCGGGGGGTTGGCCACGCCGCAATCCCTTCTCCTCCCGGTATCCTGGGCACGCGTGCACATGCGCCCAGTGTGAGTGTTAAGCCACCGGGTCCGGGACTTGAACTACGGTCGACTACATGGGAGTCCAACGGCATAGCCATTACGCTAACTGCTGGTCGCTCAGTTTCATGTACTTTGTCACTAAATTGTGAACACATCCCGGCTTCCACCATTATGTAATCCTAAACTGCTGTACTTGTTTGTTCATAAAAATCCACCCATATGCAAATAGCTTCCCTCCTGGGGGCAAAACTTAAAGCCACCTGAACTATGGGATTGTTCACCCCTGGGCAAGTTAAATTCTTGCCCTCTAACTCCTATGTTTTTTTTTTTTTTTATGGTTTTCCAACACATCAAAGTTCCAAAGCCAGAATAGATCACACATTATTACTTCTAATTGGTTTTCATCTTTATTACGCTCCTCACAAGTGCACATAACTTCCTATTTGCATAACTAATAGGCCTCTCTCAAAGCCTGTGTGCCTCCTGCTTCCTGCCTCTATTAGTCATCTGTAGGCTACATGTTGGCGTGGGTACTTTCCCCACTTGTGAAAGTGCCTCGTAAATTCTAAAGCATGAAAATGTCCGAGGTATTGTTATTAATAACAGCATTTACAGTGTACCAGCAGTGCACACAGTACTCCAGCAATAGATCCTTTTTCAATGGTTTTATCAGACGTCGTGAGAAAGACAGTATTGTACAGTGGAAAAAGTACTGCTTTGGAGTTAGAACCACGTGGTTATTCTTAATTTAGCTCTGAGCACTAAGTTTTTTTATACACTATACACATTCCTTCATTTAGTCCTCAAACTCCTGTGAAATCATTTTTATTATAAACATTTAGCAGATGACACTGGGACGCTGAGATGTTGGGTAACTTGCCCAGGATATCACAGCTAGGAAGTGGCAGAGCCTGAATTTGGACCCAGAACTGTCTGATTCCGAAACCTCGACTCTCTCATCGCTGTACTGTAATTGATAGGCTCAGATGCTGCCTGGGAAGGTGCTAGAGAGGAAAGAGAGTGCCTGAGTCTAGCAGAGAACTAGACCGACGGGTGGGAGTTCAGATCACACGACCTTCAAGGCAAAGGCTTATTCCAGATCCAG